TATGGTGAGCTCTAAAGCCAGACTGAAACTCTTGAAAAAGTTCATTATGGTGTAAGTGATCGCAAACTTGTTTGGCAACTACTTTCTCAAGAAGTTTAGATAAGAAAGGAAGATTGGATATAGGTCTATAATGGACCAAGTCATCTGGGTCTAGAGACGGCTTCTTAAGCAGAGGTTTAAGCAGCTGCAAAAGGCGGCCCCGTTCAGGGTAGAACAGACCCTTAGGATGATGCTGCCACTGTCATGTTTGGTGTTCCTTTTGGTCGTTTTAGGTTTCAAGGTCTCATCTTCAATTCTTCAAAAGGAAAATGTTTAAGGGTTCAATCTTCTCCTCACTGGAAAATATATGGCCCTTCACAAAACATGTAACTTGATAACCAGGGTTACTGCAACTAGTCAGCCCTTAAGTTTTTTGGGTCAATATATTTTTTTGTATCTTCTCAGTCCATGGTCTGACCATGGTCTTTCTCTGTACAGCAACATTACTGTCTCATGCAGCATTCTCTACTTAGTGTTTCAGCTTTGGTAGTTGCTGTTCTTTTTCTTAAACATCCCAACAATTTTTCCTGGCAATTTGGGCCAGACGGTTAAAATCTGAACACACTTGGGTGTTTCATTAGCAAAATTATGTTGAACACATATAAAAATTGGTTTTAGAATGTTTAAAGCACGGTTAATAAAATGTTTTTGGAATGCTCTAACCACAACTCCTTGAAACATGCATAAACTATGTTTGACTGTTGCCCGAAAATCAACCAAACAAAGTCTATCATCAGGAAGAGTGGTAAAGAAAATCTAGATTAGATCACACAAGACTCCCATTTAGGCATACAAGTGTGTCCTTCCTTTATAACCTAAATAAGGGATGTTTCTTTGGGTCTTTGTTCATATTTGAGCCTGTGTAGTTCACCATGCGTGAACTCCAGAAAATCCATTTAAACCAAGCAATCTTGGCAGGAGTTGATTAGTAGGAGTTAATTTCATGGCAAGTAAAAACCAGTAGGGGGGCTTGTTGTAATCACTGTCTGCAGTCTGAGCACATGTCTGAAACTAAAGTACAAAGAGACAATGAGGGGCTGAAAGAAAGCCAAATAAGCTAGGTAACAGTAGGATCATCCAGTGTAGGGGTAGAGCCATCACAAGAAGTTCTGGACATGATGCAATGAGTTTAGGAGAGCATGTCTCAGTTTTTAGACTGAACTCAGTAAAGAAAACTACTGGTAACACTGCGAGAAGGAAGAATAAAAAGGGAGAAACTTTGGGAATCTTAATCCAAAGTTTTGAGAAAGAGGAGGTGGAGGAGGAGGGAGTATTTTGGAGGCTCATCAAGAATTTGCCTTTTAAGGGGTACAGTCTCCTATTTCTAAGGCTTATGAGCTATTGTGAACTAGCCAAAACACTTGAGGGAGAAGAAATAAACAAAAGAATAGTGCCTGTAAGAAGCAAAAACAATCTTCACACTTATATAATCGTAAAAATGAACATACTTACATTTTTGTTGAAAACACACACCAGGCATCCTCCCCATCATAACATCTGTATTTCACTGCATAGGTGTGTAATCTAGAGGACAAAAACATTCCCTTTCTCTCTATGAAACAAAGAGACCACTTCAGGGTAAACAAGAGAGGCCTTAGTCCACCCTGAGTCCCTGGATCTCTCACAGCATCCCAACAGCTGCCGGGTTTTCTTAGTCATCCTCTGGACAATTATCACAATGTGTTGTTGCTGGGGCTAAGGAGTGACTGTCGGTATCTGGGAGCAGGAAACCGAGGGGAGCTTAGGGGGAGAGATGGGTGGGGAGGTGAGAACAGAGAGGTAATTGTATATGTAAGAGTGAGGCAACCGCGGTAGAAGGGGCAGACACAGGAGGAGGGCAAGAGAGAAGGGAAAGGAGACGTGCGTTCCTGGGATGGGGACAACGAGAGATGAGACAGAAAAGAAAAAACAGGATGAGAACATGAATCCTTAAGTGTTGATGCATGAAGAAGAAAACAGGGATGGTGGGAGAAAGAATAGTAAGTGACCAGTCAGTGTGTGCGCAACTTCGTTGTCTTTAGAATAAAAGGATGGGCGACAGTGCCACAGCAGCAAGACGGAGCATGGTGGGGTTTAAAGAGTGTGTTTTCTAAAAGTAGTAGAGAAGGGCTGAGAGAGTGTATCCTTAGGAACGGGAGTCTGGAAAAAGGGAAGGGCCTTGGTCTCCTCCTCTCCAGCTGACAAAAACAGCTGCCCAGGAGCCTGCTCAGAGAGGGGAAGGAGGTGAGAGGAAGACTTAAACGGCAGAGAGACGGACAGAAGAGGGAGAGTCCTGGACTCCAGCCACCTATATGGGTTGTGTCCTGAGCTCGGACTGGTGTGGGGAGGGAGAGGTGCAACCAGTGCCAGTGATCCGAAGCTCATCGGTAAAAAGAAGGAGTTTGGAGAGGAGTGACAGCACCAGGATGAGGCTCACAAAGGTTGGTGTTCATGTGTTCTCCATATGTGAGGCATGTTTATGTTTTGCTCCAAAGTGAAAGTAATCACAAACTGGAGTCTATGGTTTTATGTCAAGTCCAAATGATAATAATTGATTGATCACACACTGGAGAAATTTACCTCTGCATTTAACCCATCACCTTGAGGAGCAGTGGACTGCCATTGTATGGCACTCGGGGATTAAGGATTTTGCTCAGGAACCAAGAGGGGAGGCTCTGGGGATCGAACTTGAAACCTTATCAGAACACATGTGCACTGCTCTAACCCACTAGGTCAACACTCCACTAGGTAATAATTTGTAATGTTAATATTTACAACACGCTGTTATACAGGTAGATATCACAGCCTCTTTTTTGTTATTTTAATGTAGCGAACTACATAAAAGGTATATTCACGGATTTGCATTTGTCTACAAAATCTACATTGCTAACTAGGTGTATTCCTGTATTCAGATTCAGATTTAAATACTACAATAGGCCACACGAATGAAACAAAACTGACATACTTATTTGGTTCTGTATTATATTTCGTTAGATTCATGTAAAGGTTTAGAATAATTACACCCGGTTAGACCTAGATTCATAATACTCTCACAGCTGATCCTACTCTAAGTATTTATCATTCCAAACCTGTTTTATTTTTTTACCTGAATCTCAAACATGGCCCATATTTTAATCAGGTATTCAACATCTTAAACTAAGTTGGGATTTCTTTTTAGCTTTAATTTTACTCCTGATTTTACTTCATTTAAGATTAAACATCTGGTTTTACTTTACCAAACATCTCCATCCTAATTTTAGTTGCATAGTTATGCTTTACTCACACTTCCTCACCAACTTCAGTAATTATTGACTGTTGACTGTTAATCTAAGTTTCAGATTATTAATCTTCATCCCTACTTTGTATCTTTCTCTAAATCCAGTCTTACGGTTTTCAGTCGCTCTTCTAAGGTTATTGCTATAGTTTGTGCAAGCCTTTTGGTTTTTGCCCTTTGTTGTATAAATGACCACACTGGGATATTTATTTAAATGTTGTGTAGCCAACCTGCATAGATTCTTTGTATGTGAAGGTTTTGTCCACCCTTTAAAATGATGGATGTTACTTTGTCTGTGCAGACAAGCTCCAGTTTGTGTGAGTGTGTGATGATGTTGTAATGGAGTGATGTGCCCCACCCTCACCTAATGATTGCTAGACAAAGTTCCAGACCTCCTCTGCTATCTTGAATGGCATGAAATGCCAATGGAACGTGGATGATTTACAGTAGTAGCCATTCAAAATTTCCCCACTTTCCTTGATAGGCTCTTGGCTGGGCCTTTGCTGGTCATTTGCTGGTCCCTGACAATTCCTTTTTAAACATTATTATTTGTTCTAAAATATTCTTTCTGTCATCATTTGTGGACATTAAGATCTAAGTAGAAGCGTCATCTCCTGGCCACACCCTGTAATTCAGTGAAAGGGTGGAGTCAGAGTAAATAAATATGCAAGAGGCGGTCATTACAGTTGCTGGAAGTTGGAGGGGAGTTTGCTGGGAGTTGGAGGGAAGTGGGCTGCCATTCGGCTGGCATTTGACTGGGAAGGGCGATTTTAAATGGCTGCGATTGTAAGAAGAAATCAAATGGACAGTTTGAGAAATTAAGTGATACGGTGGAAAAAATCTACATTCCTTTTCTAATGAGGGTTAAAAAAATTTGATTTTTATGGCATCACAGCACATCTGTGCAGGAACAATGTTGCTGTGGTGGCCAAGATGATGCAGTGGTGTGATCGTCATGTAAACATAAGCAGCCTGGATGCTTGAAAGAAGGGATAATGGAGCAATTAAAAGAACACCGAACCTGACCTCTGACCAACAGTGTCATCAAGCTGGAGAACTTTTGGTTCTGTTTCACCCTGCTCTGGGATCAATCTAAGTGTGTGTGGGTTTTTTTTGTGTGTGTGCGTGAACCTGGTCTCAGAGGATCTATTATACATGCTGCATCACATGCAGAGTACTGTGGGAAAATGAAGCTTTTTGGACTACGTCATCCTGCTGTGGCTGACCCACAATATAAGGGTGTGGGAACCTCTTAGATCCAAATTATCCCAAGGGGGAGAGGACATACTGTTAACTATATATGGTCTTTTCTAATCCATTCTTTTGAACTTATATCTCATTAAGGGTTTTTACAGAAGGATGTGGTGTATTGCATTTTAAATCTGAGAAATTATATTGTTTTTTTGTTTTTTTTTTGCTTTTTTTCTGGCATTAGATTAGATTAGATGAGCTTTATTGATCTCACAGCGGAGAAGTTCACTGGTCAAATATTGGCATAGTAATTAAAGAAGGTGCAAACAAGGAGGAAAAAGGTACATTAAGAATAAACAATATATATACAGTATATCAAGGTATATACAGTATATCAAGATAAATAAGGATTAAGGTGCAAGTGTACATGTATCTACACCTTAGATTTTAGTCCCATGCTAGTATATTAATGCAAACCCAAACAGAAAAAACAACAACAAAACAATTGTCACGGTGATTACATAACGAACTTAAATGATGAAAACATGTATTTAAAGGTTTCTAACATTATATCATTATTTGTTTAAATGGCCCTCAGGGTAAAACCGTCCCTATGAAAGAAATAAATGATAATGAAATTATGATGCTGTGTGTCACTGTGCCTGGAAAGTGATTATTAAATTCATTAAAGCTCGTTGTCAATTGTGCTCCCTTATGCCTGGATTCTTGTTCAGACAGAGAGCAGCAGAGGGTTGGTAAATAATGTTTTAAAAACAGGACTCTAGATCTGAACAGGTCATACTCATAAGAGCTCATATGGTTCCCTTTAAACATTAAGGTCCCCAAGGCTCTGCTCTGGTGGTTGATTCATAAATCAGGGGGGGCACATGAACAGATCTTGGAGTTGGATTGTATCCTCAACACACACACTTACTGCAGATAGAATTTTATTACTTCAGATCTGTTGAATTTTGGGGTAATACAAACTTAATAATGAGCAGACATTTGGTTTACTTACGTACCCGAAAGGGCACAAGTTTGAGAGTCACTGGCAGACTCATGTGCAAGTCAAACATAAATATAGAAGTTAATGTCAACCAACTTCATTTGGCAGTGGAAGAAAAGATAGATGTATGCAGCTTAGTTTTACAGATTTAACCTTTATTCTCTATGAGTGCCCCACTTTTTCTTCAGTGTAATGTAGGACGAATGTTGTTACCTAATGTTATAAACTCTAACATCTTTAGTCTGATCAAACCCACTCTTGGTTCCTGAAGCAAATGTTAAAAGGCTCTTGTCTGGATTATGCTGGAAAGCTGAATGGAATTCGGCATGCTTTTAAGATACACTCTGTGTATACAAAAAAACAATAAAAGTTGTCTAAGTTTTATTTTCTTTGAATAAGGACATTTTTTTATCTAAATGTAAACCTTCTGCTGAAGATCAACAATGTTTACAATTTTTGACTAGTTGTTATAGTGGATTAACCTAAAAAATACACAATCTTGCAAACCTTTAATTAACTCAAATTTTTTACACAACGTGGCTTAATTAAAACAATCTTGGATTTTCAGATAAAATCCCTAAAGATATGTCTTTTTGGGTATTGATGACAACAGACCACAGTTTTTTAGCACTAAAGGGTTAACAGTCTAACCAGGTAGCAAGCAGTTAGGAGCACCACAGTGGATGGTAGACTTAACATTCCTCTTTACTCTGTACACCTCAGACTTTCAGTACAAGACAGAGTCCTGTTGTCTGCAAAAATACTCAGATGACTCTGCAGTTGTTGGACACATCAGAGATGGCCAAGAAGCTGAATACAGGGAGCTGGTGTGGAAACAGTCACCTGATTTTGAATGTGAACAAAACAAGGGAGATGTTTGTAGAAAATGAAGAAGTTCAATCCTCCAAACATCATGAGAGAAGTGGAGGTGGTGGAGAAGTAAATACCTCAGTGTTTACCTGGACAACAGACTCAAGGCTGATTTATACTTTGAAACCAGGTTGTCTGCTTAGGTGTCGCAGTGAACAAAAAGACGTCCCCGCCCTCTCCACAGACAGTCTGCTGCACCTCTCCCAAATAGCTGACCGCAGACAGGAGGCCGGCATGTTTTTTTTTCATGACCGAAATTGCAACTCGTTAAGTTGGACCAGCTAGAAGAGCGAGGTGCGTGAGAATGCTGGGACCCTTTTTCCACCTGGATCCTCGCTATTTTTCGCTGTCATGTCCCTCCATTGCTGGACAAACTCGCCCCCACTTCCTCACCGCCTTGGCCGTATGTAGACCAACAGCGTATAGCGCAGACCGCGTTTCAATACTGGGCATAAATCAAAAATGTCTGCGTCAAGCTCACTGCGACACACTGCTGCAGGAGTATAACCAGCCCTTCACACTCAACCTGGGAAGCCATCAGTGAAAAGGGAGAGCAGAAACTTTTCTTCTAAAGGAGGATTAAGTTCCAAAGTAGCAGTAACATGCTGCATATCTTCAATAAATCTGTTGCAGAGAGTGTGATCTTTTCCTCCATAATTTTCTGGAGTAACAGCATCATAGCTAATGACAATAAAGAAAGCTGGCTCTGCCTTAGGAACTCCTCTAGCTGTCGTGAGTTTGGCGCTGATGACTGGTTTGATTGTTCATTCCGTTCACCTGCCTAGCTCCACCCAGTTTCTCATTACCGCCAATCTGTGTCCCCTGCTCCAGTCTCTATTTGACCTGCCTGCTTCCAGTCATCAGCGCCAGAATATTTGAGCCTTTGTTGAGAGTTCTTTAGCATAGTGTTTGTGAGTGTTTCTGATTGTCTGATCCTCACCCATTCTGCCTCTAAGCCTGTTCCTGTTCTGATCTGTTTGTCTAATCTTTCTTTGGACTCCTGCTGCATTCTGCCTGTTGACCGAACCTGCAACTTCATCAGAGTGTTTTCAGTCAGATGCTTTTCCAAGTTTGGTGTAAGAAACAACTACAGAAGCTCC